CCAAAAAGGTGACTTACGTATACAAAGTCTTCTGCAGTGGCTGAAAATGCCCATTCACATCCAGGACTCGGGCTGGCATTGCTCTTTGTAGTATTCACCACAGATGACACCCAATTACAATATCTACATGTTAATAACACATCACCAAAATGAGAAATTAAAACAAAAATTAGCGAGAGATAACTATATTCTAGTCAAATTTCTCAAACCTTGAGAGAAGCTGCAAGGTCAAGCGAAGAAATTTATCAGCAGCAGAGAAAACAAGAACATCGTCTTTCCAGCATGATCGCAAGCTCTCCAAAAGAGTAACGCTCTGTCTGAGCATTAAGTTGGTCGAACTCGGTTTATCTGAGTCAGAATCCTGAATAAAAACAAGAGAAGCAGAAGTAAGAGCAGAATCCAAGCCTCCAGCTATCTCCTGAATCCTGAATCATGTATTTTCGAGTTAGAGAAGCTGAATAAGTCAGTATTTTAATGGCAAGCCAACAACTATCTATGAAATTCTCGAGTACCTCAGTGAAAAGTACACTCCCACATTCCATTGTTTCATGAATTCAATACATGTAGCTTCAGCTCGAAACTTAGTTACAGCTGACCTTGATGGACAATAACCTTCAAAAAAAGTATAAGGTATCACTACTCTGAAAATTATCTACAAAAAATTTCACCACCAAGTATATTTTTTTTTTGCTTATATAATACACATGAATATCAATTCACAATGCATCTGATAAGCCATTTTAGATCAGTTACTCTACCTTCAAGATATGTCAGGAAATCCAAGCTTGCCTTGTAATTCTTCAAGAACTGGGTAGGCCTTCCAGGAGAAAACACTCCTGGTTTGACTTTCTGGAGTGCCGAAAGAACTTCTTTGAGGATTGAATTTGCCAAGAAGTTGGAGACATGCAAACCAGATTTGTCTGTTTTAGCAGCAAGATACCAAGAAAAAGTACAATTGGTGAAAAAATAAAACTGACAAGATACAGAAGGAAATAACGTCCAGTTATGATTAACAAACAAAATTGGAGTTACATAAAAAATATGAAGATAATAAGCGATGAAATTTAGTTTACTGAGTAACTGCATAAACTTCTTCTTAGAATTTATAACAGGAAAACTTCTTTGCTAGAAAAAATATTGACTTTAAAGGGTGGTAGGAGATCTACAACAACTATGACCACACAAAAATTTGAGCGAATTACCCGTTGAAGATATTTCTAGCAGCATTTTACAGTCCTTTGCAATAAAATGCTTGATCTGTTTGTAATCGTTTTCAAGTTCATCTACCGATGCTCCAGCAGCATCCGCTGAGGTTTCATGTGCAATAATTTTATGTATAAATGGAGCCACAGTTGTTGTACGAAAAAGTTCCTCTGCATTATTGATGTTATCAATGGCAGCATATGCACGTAGGCAGTTGTAAATGACGCTTGTGTCGCTGTTGTTTAGCCCGTCAATGAAGCAATGGCCCAGGCTAGCATCCAATAACACACTAGCGCTCTGAATACTCTTCTCCATGTTCTCAATGAAAGGCAGGTTCTGTACTGACATAACAGAAAAAAAATAATGAGCATCAGTTGTAAGACTTTATATTGTCTTCTGAAGGCTAACAAGTACACTGGGGGTTTAGCAGAACACCAGCGATTACACAACATATTACCAGCATCTCATGTAACCTGTTTATTTTGTCAGCAATCATCTCAGAGCTAGTGAAATGATCTACCCAAGCCCTATACTTATAGCTAGTTTGGACCCCAGGAGACTACACTTAAATGCACTATATATAGACGAAGCCTCTTTCATCATTATCATATAAGATGCACAAGAGTTTTCTATCCTCTTTATAACTTGGAAAGTCAAGAACGGCTTGGACTGAAAAGAAAGATTTTGAACCATCTATTCTCCCAAAATATTCCTCGGAAATATTTTTTCAGATGCTTTATACTTAGGACTGTAAAAAGGGACAGAGGTGCGTTCCTAACGGAATCTATACTTTGAGATGGACAAGGAACTGTGACTTGAAAAAATATTTCAGCAACAAAAAGAAAAGAAAATGCATGATGAAGACCTGTGCATGAGCCATATAGAACCTGAGCCGATTCATTTCACTAGCTATTCTTTCCAAAAGCATGCTCTGGGTTTCTCTCATGGTTGTGCCATCTTGCTGCGTGGGAATGTCATCACTCATAAAACTCCTTCCCAAGGAATTAGCACCCTCGTTTTGCCAATCAGAAGGAGCAGTTGGTAGAACTTTAATAAGCTTTTCAACCTACATTTACAATGTATTTACGTGAAGCGTTCAGATTATCTAAAACCCAAAAAAAAAAGAAGAAGAAGCAACAGTGCAACGAAGAAACACCTTTACTCAACACACACGGAACGACAATGCAAAACAATTAACGATCACGCATAGATCAAACACTTTCCCAGTGGAAAATTACAAGATTTTCAAAAACTAAAATCATGAGGAGTACCTTGGACACCACATGAAATGTATTGAGCAGCAAGTCCAGAACCTCCCTGGCAGCAGCAGCATCGGAACGTTGATGCAATCCATTGCTAAGTGAGAAAAGGGAGGCCTCCAGAGAACCACGAAATCCAGTGATCTTCTCACGGAGCTCAAGGAGCGGGGCTCGCATGCGGATAACAGCGGCATCGATGTCCACGAGCTTAGTACTCAAATTCACGAAATCGGCATAGTCTCGATTGATTAGGTCAACAAGTTCGCCGTTCAGGGATGCTAGGTGTGACCGGAGCTGGGATCGGAGAGTGTCAAAGGGAACGAATGTGCGGAGCTCTGAAATGTAAGACTCGGAGTCGAAGCCAGGGGAAAGGAATAGGGAAGGCTTGAACCATAGAGGATGAGATTCGAAAGGATCCGAGAAGAATTCTGAGGCGGATCTCGGTGCTGACGACGGCGACGACAACGGCAACGTCGCGACCATACCTGACATTATCGATTCGATGTTTCCTCTGTGTGGGCCAGATATTGAGTCGTATATATCTATGTTGGACTGCGTGCCGAATCCGACTTATAGAGCTCAACTGCGTGTCGGCTTACTCAATCCAACCAAACCGGAGGAAGGGAGGATCTAAAATCCGGTTAAGTTTGGTTTGGTTTGGTGCAACTAAAATGAAATGTTCTTGACAAAAATGTGAGGCGTGTTGTAAATTTATAAACAAGAGACCGAGATGAAAACCATCTTCATCTTTTTTTTTTTTTTAACACGAAAAGTCCAACCAAAAAAAAAAAAACCATCTTTCATCTTCATCTTCTTCTTCTTCTTGGATGCTCTAGATGCATTTGATAACCTTTAATTTGTTTATGTTCTTAATTAACCTTAAGTACATACTCTTCCAATAGCAAAGGTTTTGTAATATCGATCATAGTTTCATTATATATTAAGTTTTGAAGATGAATAAAACAATATCATAATTATTAAGATAGCTTCCATATGTCATAATTAAAGCAAAGGTCTTGTAATATGGATCATAGTTTCATTATATATATTAAGTTTTGGAGATGAATAAGACAATATCTTGGATCCTAAAGTCGGAGAATGTCATGGTCAGGTAGTAACCGACTGACTATTTACATGTGCAGATGAATATTTATATCACTTGCCCTATTTGGAATATAAAATTTTGCTCAGACCGCCTTCGGCAAAAATAATAATAGTAGTTTTAGTTAGAAATTAAGCTATACATAAAACATACCGTACGTACGCAGACGTATATATTAAAATGCTTAACAAGTTTCATATTGTCGTTATGGTTCTTAGGAAATTTGTGTACTCTTCCTACTCGGTCGTGGACCAGTATCGAAAATCGTACAGTATATTGTTTTCTAAATTAAAAAGATCACGGTGTTCGTAAAAAAGACCAAAAAAAAAACAAAAAAAAAATCTAGAAAAACAAATACAAAAAAAAAGTATATATATATATAGGCATGTCAATTAGGGGTAAAGCCCGCGGGCTAGTTTGGCCCAGCCCTGAAAAACATCGGACTCGGGCTTAAATATATATGTCCAGAAAAAACCGGGCCTTTTGGGTTAAGCCCATTCGGCTAAAGGGTTTTTTGGGCTTAGCCCGGTCGGGCTCGGACCGGCCCGAAAAGCCCTTATACAAATTTATTTTGATTTTTTTGAATATTTTAGTTTGATTAAAAGATTTTTGATTAATGTTATATTTTCATATTTACTTACTAGTCTTACTTATTACTTTTAAAATCTTTATACAAAGCTAAAACTAAATATATATAAGTATCATGATTTTGAAATCATCAAAATATCTATTAAATTTTGACTCTATCTTATACTTTAAAGTATTTTAGTTCCATGTTTTATTGGGTTAAAGTGTAAATAATTTATTTGGCTTTTATTTTTTCTCTTAAATTAAGTTAGTTTTATTGAATATTGATAAGTTATTTAAAATTTGATGCATTATTTTTATAGTAGACCTTTAAATATAGTTTTTCAAAAATTATTATGAACTTAGAAATTGATTTTTTTTATCGGTAAATAAAGCCCAAAAAATTCCGAAAAGCCCTGTAGCCCTGTTAGGGCCGGGCCGGACTTTGAAATATAGGCTCAGAAATTTTTCGGGCCGGGCCGGGCCGGACTCATATATATGAGAGTTTTACGGGTTTCGGGCCGGGCCGAGCCGGGCTAGCCCGATTGACATGCCTAATATATATATATAGAAAGAAGAAAAACCCAATCACATAAATGGTGACAACGCATTAGTGGTGCGTATTAGAAAGTAAGAAAGGCTGTAAAATCATGAGATATCCGTTGAACACAAGAGCCATGCTCGATCGATGAACTTTTGTCACCTTCTAGATTCAGACCCCTATTACATTATTCATCTTTTATCAACATCTCTCAATTGAATCATAAATAAATAAGGAAAAAATAATAATAATATCTCTTCACATTGTTTATTCAGGAGATTACTTGTCTACGACGAGGTCCTCAGTAACTCTGATACATCTAGAGTCCAGAATGATCTAGTCACTAGCGAATCAAAATAACGGCTATAAAGCCGCCAAATCGTTTATTATTTGTTTCCCTTTCCACAAATAAATTTTTTTACGGTTGCGTTACGAATCCTTTTCTCCTCCTCTCTCAAAGCAATCTCCTCACCCTCCACGTGTAACTTCCGGTTTAATTTTCTCAGTCTCGCCGTGAATTTGTTGATTCTCCGGTCGAAATCACAAAAATCCTTTTAGCTTTCTCTTGGGATAAATTCGTTTTCTTTCCAATCGCGTCTCCGTTGGTGTTTTTACATGAATGTTTCTCGGGTTTAGCTTCGAATTTGATCTTCCTCTGTATATATCTTCCTTCTCACGTATTTTGTGTGGTTTCGCTGCTGCAAATCACAACTATTCTAATTCCTGGAAGTGATAACATCATCTGCAAGCGCTTCAGGTTTGCCATTCGGATTCACCCTTTTCTGATCTTCCTCTGTATATATATAGCTGAGGCCTGAGGTTGTGTGTGATTGCTAGCTAGGAAAACCAAATAGTTGTGATTAAGTTCAACCTATGTTTTTTTATTTATTCGAATGCTCTCACAAGTAAGAAAATTGGGTTTTTGCGATTATAGATTCGTTGCTTTCCTTGTACTCAACATTTCCCGATTTTGCTTTCACTGTTAGGTCCTTATGCGGTTTATAAGACTGTAAAGCAGAGGTGTCTCATCTTGATTAAGACTTTATCTCGACGTCACTGATTTCTACAATAAGATTATTTCTTTGTCCCCAATATGTTTCCTGATGCCAAAGGAGCTCTTCTTTTAAGGACAATTGGTCTACTTGTATTGCTGATTATGAGGTTTTGTTTGTTGTGTAATAGTAACACAGCAAGTTGTTGGAATGGAGGGTCCGGAAAGATGAGAGATTGTTAATACCCAGTCAGATATTCTTTGAGGTCTTAATAGATTGCTTTGTGAAGATACTTTAAAAGGGTAAAAAGAAGGTGACTATGCTGGCTTCTCATTTCGCCTCTGTAACATCTAAAATGTTATCCCTCTCAACCTCTGATCACGCCTCTGTGGTTTCACTGAATCTCTTTGTCGCCCTTCTATGTGCTTGTATCGTCATTGGGCATCTTTTGGAGGAGAATCGATGGATGAACGAATCCATTACAGCTTTATTGATTGTAAGTTCACTTCATCCGTCCATTCTTAGGCTTACAATCCACTTAAAGATGTTACTGTAGGAGCTCTCTCTTCTGGATATTACTTCACAATGTTTCATCTTTAATGACTTCCGCAGGGGCTTTGTACTGGTGTCGTTATTTTGTTGCTTAGTAGAGGGAAAAACTCTCATTTGTTGGTCTTCAGTGAAGATCTTTTCTTTATATATCTTTTGCCACCCATTATATTCAATGCAGGGTAAGTGTCTACATCAAGACTTGTCATGTGCTTCTTGCTTTTGATGATAGGTTCATAGTTTTGGTCTTACTTCTATAATTGATAGGTCTTTTGTTGAAGTATTGGTTTTGGTTGGGTTTTGCACAACAGATGGAAAATACACAATGGAGTAGAAACAAATAAATATCTGTATATTTTCGGAATTCTTACTGAGAGATGTTACTTTAAATCAGTTTCTTATTGCATTATTGCTGACTCTATGAATATGCTCTCATACACCAGTACTTGTGATTGTGACTGCAGAACAGGACGTGGCTATAATGTTTATGGTCAATTTTAGTTTGATTTATCTACATAGAGGTGGTCCTGCTATGTTTTTGTCATAAATGCATGCAGACATGGTTGAGCTTTTCTTACACTACATTTTCAGATCTTTCCCTGACCCATAATTATTTCTTTGTCGTGTGTATTTAGGTTTCAAGTTAAAAAGAAGCAGTTTTTCCGAAATTTTGTAACTATTATGGCTTTTGGCGCCATCGGGACTGTAGTTTCCTGCACCATAATATCTCTAGGTATCTTACTCCCCACTCCCTGTAATTGGACCTGTTGAAGCCTTATTTTGGATTAGTAATTGTGGATCATTTGTATTCATGTGGTGTTTAAAACAGGTGCAATACAGTTCTTTAAGAAGTTAGACATTGGGACCTTTGACTTGGGTGATTTTCTTGGTAATTGGTTATTACGAGTTTTTCTTTTATTTCTATTGCTATACTTTATCGATTTCTGTTCGAGAAGACTTTATTTATTTTGTGTTTGTTGATCAGCAATTGGTGCCATATTTGCTGCAACCGACTCTGTATGCACACTCCAGGTAATGTGATTCGCCAAATATCAGAAGTACCTACATGGCCAGAAAGTGTAACTAACAAAAACTCTTGTTCCTTTGTGCTATAGGTTCTTAATCAAGATGAGACACCTCTGCTTTACAGTCTTGTATTTGGAGAGGGCGTCGTGAACGACGCCACATCTGTTGTGCTCTTCAATGCAATTCAGAGTTTTGACCTCACCCACCTTAACCATGAAGCAGCTTTTAAATTTCTTGGGAACTTCTTGTATCTGTTTCTCTTGAGCACCTTGCTTGGTGTTGCAGTAAGCCCATTTTCTCTCTACTACTCTTTCTTCTGGCTACTACTTACATGCTCGTCTGTTGAAACCATCTACAACTAAAAATCTTTGTTGTTCATCTTGCAGACTGGTCTGATAAGTGCTTATGTCATCAAGAAGCTATATTTTGGAAGGTTGATAATTCACTTTAGCTTCATATGTGAATTGCCTGTTCTGTGATGTGGTCTAAACTGGATATCTTTCTTAGGCACTCGACTGATCGAGAAGTTGCCCTCATGATGCTTATGGCGTATCTTTCATACATGCTTGCTGAGGTTAGATTCTGTGAAGTTTTATATCACTTCCATAATTTAGGTATAGAGACATTCAGTTTTACCTTAAGAATACGTTATTGATGTTATTTTGTTTGGGTTGCAGTTATTCGCCTTGAGTGGTATTCTCACTGTATTTTTCTGTGGGATTGTGATGTCCCATTACACCTGGCACAATGTAACTGAGAGCTCAAGAATAACTACCAAGTAATATGATCTACATTTTTCTACATTTTTTGCTTGAAGACAAAGGGTCTTAAACGTGTTCCATCTTTAGTACGTACTTACCTTCTCTGCATATACGATTGATACAGGCATGCCTTTGCTACTTTGTCGTTTCTTGCTGAGACATTTATTTTCCTTTACGTTGGAATGGATGCATTGGACATAGAGAAATGGAGATTCGTGAGTGATAGGTATGGACACTCAATAGAAACATTATCTCTCTTTTTGTTCAATGAATATTTGCATAATCACTAAATGTTTCCTTTGTTTAATTTTGGACAGCCCAGGGACATCAGTTGCAGTGAGCTCAATTCTAATGGGTCTAGTCATGCTTGGAAGAGCAGCTTTTGTTTTTCCTCTTTCGTTCTTATCAAATTTATCCAAGAAGAATCAGAGCGAGAAAATTGACATCAAGCAGCAAGTACTAACAATATACTTTGTCTATTGGATTCAAAGTTTATAGCATTGTTGATGCTTATTTATCATATCTCACTTCTTCGATAGATTGTGATCTGGTGGGCTGGTCTAATGAGAGGTGCTGTATCTATGGCTCTTGCATACAATAAGGTACATTGAAAGCTTAATGGATAGCAAACAGCCACAAGATGATTGGTGAATATCTTACAGATCTCTGAACTTCTTTATTTCTCTGTGCTCTCTAATGCAGTTTACAAGATCAGGGCACACTGAATTGCGGGGGAATGCAATCATGATTACCAGTACAATAACCGTTGTTATTTAGCACTATGGTAAGATATCTCCCACTCAGGTTTGGAATACAAGATCCATTTTCTCTAAGGCGGTGGTCAATGTAGATAAAACAGTCCAGAAGCCGAATCAAATCCTAATATGGCTAGAACAGATTTGCCTTTTCTGTATCCTAATATGGCTAGAACAGATTTGCCTTTTCTGTATCCAGAAGATCGGGATCACTTGCAATAAATCCTGTTTCGGTTTATCTGATACCGGAGATCTGACATATACTTTTGATTCCATGGGTTTCAGGTGTTTGGAATGCTGACCAAACCGCTGATCAGATACCTCATGCCACATCAAAAAGCGACCACCAGTATGTTATCAGACGATAACACTCCGAAATCAATCAACATTCCGCTCCTCGACGGCGAGCAGCTAGATTCATTTGAGTTACCAGGGACACACCAGGACTTGCCACGACCAAACAGCCTTCGCGGTTTCCTGATGCGCCCCACACGCACTGTCCACCACTACTGGAGACAGTTTGATGATGCCTTCATGCGTCCAGTGTTTGGTGGTCGCGGTTTCGTTCCCTTTGTCCCTGGTTCTCCGACTGAGAGAAGCACCCATGATCTTAGTAAACCTTGATTACAGAAACTTATTAGAAATTTATATTATTTTCTTATGTAAAAAGTTACTAATATTAGTGAATGAAGAAGCTTCTTACATTTGGAGAGACGTGTGGGACTTATGTATATATTAACTGTTAGTCTTTGTTTTGTTTAACGAAAAACTACAATTTCTTTGTAAGTTTTTGACTTTGCCCTCATGGGATTTGTTGTTGTTGGTGAGAACTTCGAATATTCTATAACTCGCTTTGATCTCACGATTAGTATGATTTGATTCAGTTTTGTTGATAGATTGAATAGTTTGTGTACGTTCTAAACTTCCAAGTTCGAACGTGCCCATGGGGTTTCATTCCGAGTGGTAAGTTTTGATTAGGACCGGGTTCGCATGAATTTAAGAGTGATTTGATTAGTCTTTAAAATTTTGGAGAACCGAATCACTCGGGCATGTAACAAACCGGTTAATTTGGCACGAGAGATGCCAAACGGGCCGAGTCAATTATGCAGGCCCATCTAAAATCTCGAACGACGTCGTACTGGATGTGGGAAGCTTATAAATGAAAGCAGCTAACAGAGGAGTTCACGCTCTTTGTACACTCCGCCCTCTCTCCCATCCCTCTCTCTCAGCTCTCGACAGATCTCTCTCTTTGTCAATCTCGTGATTAACGAAACAATGGCGACTCAGTTCAGTGCTTCTGTCTCCATGCAAACTACTTGTCTGGTAATCAGGGAAATCCTTCTTCTTCATTTTACAATTCATATATGTTTTTTAGCCATGATTTGATCACACGATTTTTAAGATCATTTCCCTATGTATGTTTTGGTGTTGTCGTATAAAACTCTTGACGCATGTTGTTTATTATGTGGAGCATGGAAGATCTTCTTCTATAGTAAAGAAGAGTTAATTATTTTTATTATTATCATTGTCTGATCATTTCTTCTGTATAGTTTGTTTGTGATCGGGAGGACCACTTGGATTTTAATATCAGTGGTCTCGTGGAATTCATTAATTTTGGTTGGTAATCCATCCAGATCTACAGTGTATTGAATTATGATTGTGGAATATGAATGCCTGCTTTTTTGTTTTGATTGTTTTGTGCATATATATATATATATTCAATTGTTTTAGAATTTGGTTTTGTGAAATTTACAGAGCAAACTGATATGAAATTTCTGAATGGAAATGTGTTTTTCTTGTTTGTCTTGTTGAAACAATAGGCAACGACGAGGATCAGTTTCGAAAAGCCTGCTTTGATTTCCAACAGTGGAAGGACCAATCTCTCCTTCAACCTGCGCCGTTCAATCCCCACTCGCCGCCTTTCAGTTTCTTGCGCGGTATCTTTGATTGGCATTCTCGATTTTGTTGCATCTATATTGGACCCTCCAAGTTGTAAAAGACGAGACTTGGTTACTTATGTATTTGGTCTTTTGTAGGCAAAGCAAGAGACCGTAGACAAAGTGTCTGAGATAGTTAAGAAGCAACTATCACTTGCTAACGATCAAAAAGTTACTGCGGCAACCAAATTTGCTGAGCTCGGAGCAGATTCTCTCGACACGGTACTAACCAGTCATTTATTCTCTTAAATCAGACACAAGTTGTAATTCTGATTAAGCAGAGTGTTTTTTTTTGCAGGTCGAGATAGTGATGGGTCTCGAAGAAGAGTTCAACATCCAAATGGCGGAAGAGAAAGCACAGAAAATTACAACAGTGGAGCAAGCTGCTGAGCTCATTGAAGAACTCATGCAGGAGAAGAAGTAATTTAGTATTTTCATAGTTGCCCCTACATAACAAGGAAGAAGGAAACGACAGAAAAAAAAAAAAGGGCTTTGGGTTTGTTTTCATTATGTTTGATCTTTCTGTCATTTTTATTTAATGTGTCAATTGAGTCTGTCTTTGTCCTAATGGTTTAGTATCTGTTGTATCCACGGATGTCACCTGAAACGTTAGGTGCCTTAACGAATATCATTTACAATAACTGTTTATTTCTATCTTTCTTTCCAAAATCCAAATGCCCCAATGAATCGTGATCAAATGCATACGGACTATATGAGAGACAGGAGTATTTTATAACACAATGTACAGGGGAGTCTCCATAGTCTTGGTATTAAGTATTAACATATAAGTCAAGAGTAGGTCCTACAAGGAAGTGACAGTAGTTTGATATTTTTTAGGAGTTTCTATTCACCTTGTATCTACAGATTCAGAAGACCTCAGGGCTCAGGGGTCTTATTATTCCCAATCGGCGTCGAAGAATCCTGCATCTTTCATTTCTGAATAGTAGACATTCTCCAAGTTCAGATCTTCCTCCTGCAGCAAAGCCAATATAATTTCAGTACCAAATCATATGATCATCCAGCTATAACACGCCTAAGGGGTGTTTTGGTGATAGTGGTGATAGTGGTGATGAAGATGGTCTATGGTGATCGTACTATGGTAATGGTGATGGTGATGATGCTATAATGATATAGTAGGTGATGGTGATAGTGCTATAGTGATTGAAGGTGGTTATTTATTGCATGTTTGTAGGTAGATATATATTTATTCAGACAGAGAAAGATGTTAAGGTGAGGGATTTACCTGGAAAAAGTCTGCAAGAAAAGTAACATACAAAAGAGGAAGATAGAAGGCGTGGTAACAAACACTTGTGATCCCATACAACCTGCAAGCATCCAATTTTGGTTTTATAGTGTTAGTAGCAAGCAAAATCTGACTACGTGATTTTCCTCTTTTGACTGTGAGGCTTTTGTTTCAAGGGTTTACCATAATCCAAAATGAGCCCCGTTTGCCGTAAGAGCACATGCAAATAGGGAGAGCCCATTTAATGCGAGCATGACAGTTATGTACTTGTAGAATGCAGGTCTTGCTGTCCAAATGGAAAGTAAAAACACATGGAATGAGTAATAGATCGAGAAATTATTGGCTTATGCTACCATAAGGAGGACGGGAGGGGTCAATGTATTTACCGGGTAATCTCTCTCTCCACTTTGAGTTGTACATGAAGAATATCATCCCATAAATGCCTGCTAACAAGAGCTTGTGGATGACCCATAAGCCCCATTTGAGCTTTTGTATATGTTCATTGTTGTCGATAAACAATGGTACCCCAAATCCAAAGAGATAAATTGCCTGAAATGACGAATGAAAACCCTGAAGGACTAAACTATGGTGTAAAACAGTAATCAGACAGTATAAGTTTGCGCTTTAGTATGAAAGTTTTGCAGAGCTAGGTTCAGGTATGCATCAATGCCAATATACCTTCATGAATTTTTTTCTATCTATCTTTCAGAAAGTATATGAGTAGATATCTAAAAGTTATGAACACAATGGTACCTTGAAAAGAAAATCAAGACCTATAACAAGGCCTGAGATGAGGAATGTTCGTGTTAATGCTTCAGCTCCGCTTGCATAGTTTCCTTGGAAGAGAAAGGCTACCAAGCTTACTTCCAGAAACAACATTCCAGATGTTGTGAACAAAGTTAAAAGATTCCAGATTACTTCTTTACCAGGAGTGCATTCCCATGCCTATACACATGAAAAGTAAATCAAAAACGGAATCTGGAGTAAGCAAATGATCGAGACTAAAAGTCTAGAACCAAGGTAAAACATTTCCTTGTAGGCAGCAACTTTGCGTAACCAAGAAATAAACAATCATAGTTTACACAAAATACAGAAGCTCTCTGATAACCAGTGTAGAAGAACACCAATGTTGAAGGGATTGCAAAGTTTATATCTTTTCTGAACCTAAAACACTAAGCTTTTTTGTCTTCAATATAAGTTCTGATCTTTTACACGAAACATAGCCCTATAGTACGATATCTTTAGGAAATGAATCCAATCAAAAACAAAAACTTAACACACCTGAAGGCAACACCAAGCAAGATTGAGCAAGCTAACAAACCATAGAAAACCGTAGTAGGCGATCATAATGTAAGATCTCCGATTGGACAACTTCGACAAGCTCTTCTTTGCCTCATACGCTAAGTAAGCGACGAATAGAATAGATGCTAATACCAGAACCGTGTTATGCAAAAACCCATGGCACTTTCCGACCCATCCGCCGATAAACCCTCCGGCACCGCCTCCAAATCCGGTAGCCGTCGAATTAGGGCTTAGCCGTGAAATCAGAAAAGGTGACTCCGGAAGCTCGCCGAGAACTCGCATTTCCTCAAATTGTACGAATCAGAAACCAAGTAAAGCCAGCGCAAGGAGTAGAAATGAATCCCTAATTCCAGGAATTTGATATGATCTCGTATAAATTCTTCTCTCTGGCGACCAAATCAAAAAGTCAAAACACTCAAACACAAGTAATTACACACAAGTTTCAGGGTACTATGGTTAATTACAATACAATATTCGGGTGAAAAGTGTAATACAATATTAAGGTACTTATTCAGAGATATAATAAAATATTAGGGAGGAAAGTATAAATAAATAAGAAGTAGAAGAAGAAGAAAGCTTTTTTTTTTTTTTTTTTTGTCTTCGTCAATCCGACCGTTGAAAGTCACTCGCCATTTCTGGCTAAACGACCGGATCGATTTGAGAGAAAAATTCGGTGCCATAAATGGCGAATTCGTTCTTCGATTCCTCGATTGAAACTTTCTTAGAGATTTTCGTTGAATATAATTTCTGTTTGATTCACGCGTTTAATCTCTTTTGGGTTTCTCTCGGTTTTGATTTTCGATTTTTGTGGATTTCACTTGCTGTGAATTCCAAAATTTCGAGATGGGTTTTTAGGAAGAGGGATAAATTTGGTAACTTTTTAATTCGATTGGTGTAATTTTTGAGCTTTCGATCAACCGCCATTGATGTGAATGCGAATGTGATGATTGATTTCCTTTATTTTTTTATTTTTTTGTAGTTGAGGACGATGCGAAACACGAGACCTGTTCACGTTAGGAATAAGAGTACGGAACCAGGAACACCATCTTCGCCGATGATGACGTCTCCTTTGATGCATCGTCATACACGTTCAGGATCGAATGCTGGGCCTGCATCGAGTGCTAAGAAAGCTCAGACAAAAGCAGCTGCTCAAAGACTTGCGGCTGTGATGTCAAATCAAACAGGGGACGAAGAAGACAGTGATGAAGACCTTTCCTTTGACTATAATGCTTCCGGTACTGGTAGCATTGGACTCGCCGCTGGAAGATCTCATCCTTCTCGCTCTCCAGTGGTAATTGAAACTAGCATGACTCACCTTTTCACTGTTATTTAAATTTTGGGTCAAAGGCAATGAGGGCTTTGCTTTCTCACCTGGTCTCTTTTATCATGTGATACTCTTTTCTGGAATGACAGATAAGGAACCCTATTGCAAGGCGTTCTGAGGTGGCAGCTCCACAGCTAGCTGATGAGGATAATGAAGATGATGACTTTTCAGTGGATGTATCCAGCACCAGACCAAGTATTGGACTTCCTGGTGGAAGAGCTATGAGACCTCACTCTCCTGTGATGGTAGTTTAACTTCTTTTTGCTTGCCAAATGCATCTTGGCTTCAACTTCCTCATGTTAATACCCTTTTCGTGCAGACTAAAATTGCACCCCCGAGACGGACGCCACCGGCAAATGAAGATAATAAGAATGACGAAGATGATGATGTTGTTTCAGTAGATTATACAATTGGTAGGCCAAGTATTGGGCTTGGAAGTGGGAGGGCAATGCGGCCACAGTCTTCTATGGTATTGTTCCGATACTTGGAAACTTGCTGATTGTAGGTTTTGTTATCGTCATGTATTTGACGTCTATATTAAATTATATGGAATGCACAGACCAAAACCCAGCCACAAGGGCGTCCTGTGATGGCAATTCATCAGCCAGCAGATGACGATAACGAAGATGATGATACTCCATATGTTTATACAAGTGGCATTCCAAGTGTAGGACTTGCTAGTGGAAGGGCAGCACGGTCACGTTCTCCTCTGGTAATCAGTTTGTTTAACATTATCGATTTAAAACTGTTGGTTGTATGTCAGTGAAAGAATTTGTGAGTCATGTTGCTAGCTGGGAAATTTCTGAAATCTCTTTCATACTATTTTTCGAGTGCGTTCTTGCTAGTTTTTCTCGTTAAACTTGACCTATCACTGTGTACTACAGACAAAAACCCCTCCATTGAGGCATCCACAATCATTAGCTCAGCCACCAACCAATGGAGACAGTGATGCTGATTATGATGAGTCGTATACTAGTGGCATGCCAAGTATAGGACTTGCAGGTGGACGATCAATGAGACCTCGCACTCCTTTGGTAAATCTAGTCTCGATAATGTACCCTCTAATAGTGAATCATGAACTAGTAGATGTTTCACTAAAGAATGATATTTTGATAGAATTTCAGAAACTCGTCATATCAAGAACCAGTTTGATATTTTAAGACATAATAGCACTAGAACACTGTTTATTGGTGTTTTGAAGATTGTAATAGTATCAGCATTGCATCTGTGTTTATAAGCGTTATGGCATCAACCAGGATAGAAGGGTGTGTAGTTAACCGTTTTGGACTATCTGCATCAGCACTAGATGTTTCATGCTTCAAATTTTGTGCTCATTCTTTAGGTTAGCTTCTGTTTTTTTTCTGTTGCTTTTAAGTCTTCTGAAACTTTGTTTATTTTCCATTAGTCAATTCGTACTAAGGAACAACCTCAGACCGGGCTTCCAACTTCAGGTAGCCGATCCTCATTATTTGAGGATTCTACAGAACCTTCAGCTATTTCAACTTTGACGAGTCATCCATCTCAGACAACCAACCAAGTGGAGCAATCTGCATCCGCTCGTTCTCTAATCTCTAACAAATCATCCCAGTCTCTCAGTGCTACGGATCAACCTCCCTCAGCTCGTTCATCTTTCAGTGGTCGTCCAATACGGACAGTTCCTTTAATGCCATCTTCGGTGCCTATATCACTTAAACCAGTGACTCCTGCGTTTCAATCCGACACGCCAACCAATCTTCGAAAAGATAAAAGGTAATTAACCGACATCATATCCGAACTAAAGTTA